ATCAAAGAAATGCAAATTAAAACCACACTGAGACACCACCTAACTCCAGTCAGGATGGCCATCATCACTAACTCAAAAAACAACAGATGCTGGAAACAATATAGAGAAAAGAGAGCACATCTACACTGTTGGTGGGATTGTACAACCTCTGTGGAAAACAGTGTGATGATTCCTAAAAGACCTAAAAATCAACCTTTCATATGACCTCACCATCCCCATTCTTGGAATAGACCCAGAGGAACTCAAATCACTCTATGAAAAAAGATGTACTTTGAACAGAGTGAAGTTGGCCTCAGGACAGAACGAAAGAGATGGCAGAATAAATGTATTCTTTTACCCAATTAAAAGACAAAGTTAAAAATTATCCCTTGGTTGGGAATGGTGGCTCAGCCTATAATCCCAGCACTTTGGGGGGCCAAGGCAAGAGGATTGCCTGAGCTCGGGGGTTCAAGACCAACCTGGGCAATTTGGTGAGACCTGATCTCTACAATAAGTCACAAAATTTAGCCAGGCGTGGTGGTATGCATCTGTAGTTCCAGCTGATGTGGAAGGATCACCTAAGCCCAGCAAGTTGAGGCTCTGGTGGCCATGAGTGTGCCACTGCACTCCAGCCTGGGTGATAGAGTGAGACTCCAACACACACACACACACACACACACACACACACACACACACACATTATCCCTTGATGACCTTGGAGCCCACAAGGAAGAACTTGCATAATATCATAAGCTTAAAAGTATATAAACACAAGATCGGTTTGCTTAATTTAAGAGCTCTTCATCATATTAAAATTAAAAGGAATTTCATAGAAGCAATTATATAAGATTATGAGTTATTACAAATTTTTTTCTGAAGTCATCAGAATCAATAAAGAATTGTTCAGATTTAAACTTTTTGAAAAAGCCGGTTCGAGACCCGCCTGGGCAACGAGACATCATCTCTACAATAAATCAAAAAATCAGCCGGGCGTGGTAGCACGTGCCTGTAATTCCGGCTACTCGGAAGGGTGACACGGAAGGATCGCCGGAGCCCAGCAGGCAAGACTGCGGTGGCCGGGAGCAGCCACTGCACTCCAGTCTGGGCGACCGAGTGAGACTCCAACTCAAAAAAAGAAAGAAAGAAAGAAAAGGCCGGGCACAATGACTCATGCCTGTAATGTCTGCAGTTTTGGAGGCAGAGGCTAGAGGATTGCCTGAGCCCAGGGGTTTGAGATCAACCTGGGCAACTTGGCGAGACCTCATCTCTACAATAAATAAAAAAACTAGCTGGGCACAGTGGCACATGCCTATAGTTCCAGCTACTTGGAAGGCTGAAGCAAAAGGATCACCTGACGCCAGCAGGTAGAGGCTGCGGTGGCTGTGAGTGTGCCACTGAGTCCAGTCTGGGCAACAGAGTCTCTGATTCAAAATAAATTAGATAGATAGATTGATTGATTGATAGATTGATAGATTGACTTAATTTTCTTGAAAAGATATTTATAACCTGCTTTGTTCCAGGAAGGATTTAAGGCAGGTAAGTCTCCTGAATTAATATACATTTTAATCCCTCAGTTTTGTTTTGTTTTTTTTGAATTGGAGTCTCACTCTGTCACCCAGACTGGAGTGCAGTGGCCGCTCCTGGCCACCGCAGCCTCGACCTGCTGGGCTCCGGCGATCCTTCCGCCTCAGCCTTCCGAGTAGCTGGAATTACAGGCGCGTGCTACCACGCCTGACTAATTTTTTGATTTTATTGTAGAGATGAGGTCTCATCTGCCCAGGCAGGTCTCAAACCCGTGGGTTCAGGCAATCCACTCGCCTCAGCCTCCCAAAGGCGCGGGATTACAGGCTGAGCCACTGAGCCCGGCAATACCTCAGTTTTAAAACAGGAATTTTTCACTTCTGTCTTATTCCTGCCAAAAGTTTAGCATCTGAATCTAATTATGAGAAAATATCAGATAAACCCATAATCATTCCAAAAAACAAGTGGCCTGTACTCTTCAGAAAATGCCAATGTCATGAAAGAAAAAGAAGGCCTGAGACACTGCTCCAGAATAAAAGAGATTACAGGGACGTGAACACTGGTCACAACAAGTGATCTGAAATTTCACTATAAGGAATGTTACCCACCTGGGCAAGCGAGACCTCATCTCTACAATAAATCAAGGAATGTTACTGGAACAACTGGGAAAAAATACAAGTGAGGTTTATAGATTAGCTATAATAGTATCAGTATTCATTTCCTGTGTTTAATAGACTGTGTCTATGTAAGATGATGCTCTTGTGCTTTTGTGTGGGAATGGGAAGGAGAGAGGGCATGGGTACATATGATAACATGTGAACACCTGGAGGGATACCAGGCAAAAGGTGTATGGGAATTACTTATCCTTTTCTTGTAGCATTTCTCTACAAAATACAAAGAAAAGACAAAGCAGGAATTTATTTATTTTGAGTCAGAGTCTCGCTCTGTTGCCCAGACTTGAGTACTGTGGCACAATCATGCTACTGCAGCCTCAATCTGCTAAACTCAGGTGATCCTTCTGCCTCCGCCTTCCAAGCAGTTGGAACTACAGGTGCATGCCACCACACCCAGTTAATTTTTTTTGATTCATTGTAGAGATAAGATCTTGCCAAGTTGCCCGGGTTGGTCTCAAACCCCTGGGCTCAGGCAATCCTCTCGCCTCCACCAATCCTCTCGCCTCCACCAATCCTCTCGCCTCCACCTTCAAAGTGCTGGGATTACAGGTGTGAGCCACTTCTTAATAAGGTTTAGATACAGTAAATGACAGCTGTGGTGATTCTCCCTTATTCCTCTTATGATCTGGTGGACAGTGCAGCCTACTGAAGGGGACCCACAGACTCATAGGGTTACTCTGAACAAGAGTGAAGTGTCACCTGCAAGGCAAAAATGTGCAGTGACTGTTCCAGCACCCACTGCTAGGCAGAGAGCACTGTGCTCAGATGGACAGTGAAGTAGAAAGCCCTCAAGTATCTTCACCTGTGCAATCACAGAGTCAGGCTCAAGAACCAGGAGTCAGTACACATCAGTTTGATTGTTTGCTTTGACTACTACACGGCAGCAACCTATTATTATTCCTGTTTTGCAAAAGAAAACATAAAACCAAAGATGCACAAATGTAGAAGTATTTTGCTTAAGCCGTCCAATGAGCATGCTGTATAGGTGAAATTATCCCCCAATTCATCAATCTCTAGTTTATTACTTTAGGTATTGAGTTTATCATCAACAGAGAAGTTCTTGTTCTTCCCACATTTCATGTCTGTCTCTCTAGTGCTTCACTTAGGCTCCCATGAGGCCACTGTGAGCACCGGGCCATACCTACTCCTAGATACTTAAGAGAGTGGCCAGAGAGTTTCTTCTGTGTTTTTTTTTTTTTTAAGTGCAGGGGAGGCTGGGTGGAGGGGCTCATGCCTGTCATCCCAGCATTTTGAGACACTGAGGTGGGAGGATCGCTTGGGACCACAAGTTCAATACAGCCTGGGCAATATAGCAAGACCTTATCTCCACAAAAAATAAAAATAAAAAAATGAGCTGGGCATGGTGGCACATGTCTGTAGTCCCCGCTACTTGGAAGGCTGGGGAGAAAGGATCACTTGAGCCCAGGAGGTCAAGGCTGTGATGAGTCGTGATCCTGCCACTGCATTCCAGCTTGGACAATAGAATGAGACCCCAACTCAAAAAATTTAGTTAAAGAAAAAGTGCAGGGGAACACAACACCATCAAAGACTATTTACTAGTGAATTAAACATGAAAGCCGAGGCCCCATAGGGCCAGTTCTTCTCCATTTCAGATTGTAAAAGGAAGGTGAGTCACAATTATTTGTAAGATTGATGAAAGCAGGTTCCAAGGACCAACGAACCTTGGTCAAAAAAATGTTCCCTGTATGGTCCTCCGGAAATTCTTCCTGCACCAAATGCCTTCAATAAAAATAATAATTTTAAAAATTCTGTTCATCTGTGTTATCTTAAACTGTGTAAATTTTCAAAGATCTCATCATTAAGCTGTAAATGATGAAGACATTTGATTTGTTCTCAAACTTGAGGACAAACCCTTTGGGTTTCCTTTTCTAAAGTAGCTTAAATTCAATAGCTGTATTACATACCAAAGAGGCAGAACGCTTTGTTCTAAAGCGCAGTTGCTGATCAAAGGACTCTGAAAGTTCCTGTATATTGGAATGGGATCTTCCTTTTGATTCCAGTGGCTCCTTGAATGATGCATCCCCTGAATGTTTTCTGTAATTCTGCATGTAAGTACGACGTCGGAATTCCTGGTCCTCATGAGAATGCCTTCTGGGAAGGCCATCCGGTGGTGTCATTTTGGGATGCACAGGAAGCTGGGAATACAAAAAAACTGTATAATCAAAGAGACTGTACAGTATTAGCACAGAGGCAGGATGTCTATAAACTACTAACTAAACAAATTGCATGTTGAACTGACATTTTATCTTCTTGATCTGTAAGACCTTCAACAAAGAGGCAGCAGAGTCAACTGGTTAAAACATTAAATAAACATCCCAAGACTAGTTTTGTTGCTTGCTACTCCACAATTACAATGAGGTAGGAGTCTCTCGGCAAAAGCAAAAATGCAGAGCCAAAAGTTAGGAAAAAGAAAATATGTTTCTTCTTGTTCTTATATAAGTTGCTTTACTTCTCATTTTTATAAGTTACCCTACTTCTTGTTTTTATGTAAGTTACTTCCCGGTTCCTTTTACTCTTTTCATGGGCTTTTCACTTGGGTGGGCTACATGTTTAAACTTTTGGAGTAATCCAATCAGGATGATGATCTTGTAAGCCAATCAACAAATAGGACATGCAAATGAAATAATAAGTAAAACAATCAGTGTGTAACATGTAATGCTAACTGCAGCCTTGAGCTACAAAATATCCAATCAGATGAATAATGCCAAACTACAAACTTCTAAGGGAGACAAAGAGGTTACAATGTAAAGAAATAACATATAAGGCAATACCTCCCTGTGTTCCACTGAACTGGTGCTGGCACAAATAAACACTGTTTCCTGGCAAAGTTGTCTCAGTGTCCCATCTCTCTCCATAAAGATTCCCGCTACACTAAAATAAAACACTCCAAGACTTGAATTGATATTTAAAAATAAATTCCAAAATGATTTTTTTCAATTTCAATGAAGCCCCAATTGTTAAAGAAATAATACGAATGAGTATTTTTACAGGGAGAAAGAATTTCTAAGCAAAAGAGCAATGGAAAAAGTCATAAGGAAAAAAATAACTACATAACAATAAAGCTGATGTGTATCAAAAGCAATATAAACAAAATTAAACCATAGACCAAAAACTTTTTTTTTTTTTTTTTTTGAGTTGGAGTCTCACTCCATCGCCCAGACTGGAGTGTAGTGGCATGCTCACAGCCACCCCAGTGTAGACCAGCAGGGCTCAGGCGATCCTTCCACCTCAGCCTTCTGAGTAGCCATAACTATACAAGCGCTATCACACCCAGCTAATTTTTAAATTTATTGTAGAGATGAGGTCTCGCCAAGTTGCTCAGACTGTTCTCCAACCCGTGGGCTCAGGCAATCCCCTCACCTTGGCCTCCCAAAGTGCTGGGATTATAGGATTGGGCCACAGTGCCCAGCCCAAAAGCCTTTTTAAAAATTTGCTACATATAACTAATGTTTAATAAACATCCGAAGATCAGATGTAGTGGTCCATGCCTGTAACTCCAGCACTTTGGAAGGTACTGAGGTGGGAAGATTGCTTGAGAGTAGCAGGTTGAGACCAACCTGGGCAACATAGCAAGACCGCATCTCTACAAAAATATAAAACCAAAAAAATTATAACAATAAAAATAAATAAATACACACCACATATATAAATAAGTCATATAATATCAGTCATTAAAATCACAATTGAAAAAGAGTGGAGAACAAACTGTTTAGAGAAGCCAAACTTCTTGAAAGAATTATGACATTTGCCCTCTCAATTTCCTTCACTCCCAACCCACTCCAATCTAGCTTTTGCACCCACAACTAATCTTGGACAGGATATTGGTCTCCATGTTACCAAACTGCATGCGCTTGTGTGTCTTTATCTTAATTGTTCTATGGCATTCAACTCAATTGCCCATTTAACCCTTCTCTAAACACTCTTTTTCCTTATCTTCTACTGAAATGAGCTAAATCAGTTAATGAAATCAAATTGCTAGCAAAATAAATAGTATCAACCTGCTTACTCCATTTTGATTAAAACTCACTTTAGTTACCTGCCTGACCTAAGAATCAATGACTATGATGACTATGTGTGATTACAGTAATGTTCCCATGACCGCAGACCCCCAGCTTTGTCTCCTTTGGGCAGGTCGTGCTGACCATTTCCTGCTGACTGTTAAAAAACTTCTTAGCCATAAGTTCCATGTAATTGTATGCTTTTTTTTTTTAACTGAAATCAAATGTTATGCTTTGCAAAACCCCATTGTTACATTTTCATATTTTGTTCTTATATTCTGTTAGTGATCTCACCAAGGTAACTCCATTGTATAACAATTCTTCTTCCTTGTCTCTATGTAACTACCTTAAACTATATTTTAATGGCAGAACTCCAGGGACTTTCTGGGCACTGACTATACCTAGGCCAAGTTGTTAGTTAATAGTATGGTCACTAAGTTGCTACGTAGCCAATACTACACATTTTACCATAAAAGCTTGTCACAAACTGCATCAATTTGTCAAGAGTTTTTCCTGGCATTTGCCTGCTCTTGACCCATGCATTAATAAAAAAACAAAAAAAACAAAAAAAAACCTCATAATTAATTAAATGCAGCTTGCTGGCGTGACTTCTTCTCGCTTAGTCATTACACTACCATTGCACCCTCTTGCTTGCCCTTTGATCTTTCTGCCACTGAGATTTAGACATTTTTGCTCACTTCTTTCTTCTAATTAGCTCATAATTGTTGGAGTTCCTCAAGGTTCTAGACCAGTCTTCCTTCCCTACCTTCCCTTGTCACTTTACACTGTCTCCCTAAATATCTCAGCCCTGGGCTTCAATTTCTAGCTATCATTTGATTCCCCAATGTCTCTGAGCATCCAGCCCTTTCAACTTCTCCTCTTAGTGTCCTAAGGGCACCCAACCTGACTTGGTCACCTCTGAACTCATCATCTCTCATCTTTTTCTTCCAGGTTCCCCTACCTTGGAAGGTGGCACCACTATTCACCTGGTTACTCAGGTCAGTACTTCAGGGGCTGCCCTCCACATCTAATCACCACAAAGTCAGCAGATTCTACCTCTCAAGTATCTCTCAGAACTATCTACTTCTTTCCAGCACCACTATTGCTACCCTAGTCCAAGTCACAATTATTTGGGGGGGGTTCCCTGTATCATCCAGATTGGAGTACAGTGGCACCATCATGGTTTACCACAGCCTCAATCCTCTAGGCTCACGCCATCCTTCCGTCTCAGACTCATGAATCATGAATATCTGGGACTACAGATATGGACCACCTTGCCTGAAAATTTTTAAATTTCTTTGTAGAGACAGGGTCTCACTATGTTCCCCAGGCTGGTCACGAACTGCTGGGCTCAAGGGATCATCCCACTTTGGCCTCTCAAGGTGCTGGAATTACAGATGTGAGCCACCATGCCCAGCCCACCATTATCTTTTACCCAGATTACAACCATAGCCTCCTGATAGGGAATATCCTGTATCTACTTCCCCCTCCCTTTATTTAATTGCTCCCACAGCAGCCAGAATGGTTAAAGCAACAGCAAACTCATACCTGCTCACACCTTTTCATTCTGTCCCTCAGCTTGCACCTCCTCACCCTGTCAGTGACACAAGCCTTGCTAGTCATTGGTCACTGCCTCCAGTTCACTTGCTCCTGCACAGAGCAGGTGCTGACAGGGGCGGTCCTCCCTGCCTGCGACCTCACCTCACCCTACCATTTCACCCCCTGAATGGCTAATCATCCTTCATTCACAGAAGAAACTGCATTTCCTCAGAAAGTCTTCCTACCCCTCTGATTGGTTCAGGTCTCTATTGATGCTCTTCTGGGATCTCATTCTTCTCTGTGACAATTATCACAACTGTAATCAATAATCTGGGTAAGTTTGTTCAATGTCTGTCTTCTCCCCTAGACTGTGTATTCCATCACATCAATGGCTCTGTCTTACTCTCTTCCAGTACCCAGCACTTTGCCTTGTTCATGTCATGAGTTCATGAAATTTGTATTGAATGAAGGAATATACAGTGTAAAAAATGAAAGAAAAGGAAATATAAAAATGGTTTTTAAAAGTTTATTCTTATTAATAGTAAAAGATAATGTAAAATAACACAAAATTTTACCTTTCAGGTTAAAAAAAGTTTGTTTTTATAATAATATCAACACTGTCAAGAGTACAGGAAGATAGGAAATATCATCTCTTACTGGTGGAATTATAAATGTGTAGAGCCTTACTAGAAAGTCTTTGGCAATATGTGTCAAGAAGCTTAAACTATCTCCCTCCTTAATTCACCCATTTTATGGGCTGATTTGTGTCCCCTCAAAATTCATATACTGAAGTCCTAACTTCCAGTAGCTCAGAATATGGCTGCATTTGACAATAGGGCCTTTAAAGAGGTGATTAAGTTAAAATGAGCTCTTTATGGTGGACCTTAATCCAACCTGACTGGTGTCTCATAAGAGGAAATGTGAACACACAGAATGACACCAGAGATGCTTACTCACAAAAGAAAGATCATGGAAGGTCACTGTAAGATGGCAGTCATCTGCAATTAACAGAGAGAGGTCTCAGAAGAAACCTTAATCTCAGTTTTCCCAGCCCCCAGAACTGTAAGAAAATAAATATCTGTTGTTTAAGCCATTCAGTCTGTGGTATTTTGTTATGGCAGCCCTCACAAACTAATACACGTCTCTAAACTTACTTTCAAACAATAATCAAATCTTTAAAGGTTTGTAAATCTACTAAGATGGCTAAGGTCCATCTGTAAATTAGTCCATCTACGGTAGGTCAGTCATGGTACTAGGTGTTGCAGATAAGGTGGGGAGCAGAACAGGTAGTGTCCCCATCTCTAAACTCACATCTGCATGGGAGATAGACATTAACAAATAGGGCACATGCCCACATCCTTGGCTCAGTGCTACAGAAAGAAAGCTCAAGGCATGGTGAAAGGGTAGAACAGGGTAAAACTATGTATATTGCAGGAGAAGCAGGGGAAAGTTTTATGGATACGTGATGATTGAACTAGAAACTGAAGGAGGAGCAGTTTAATTAGAGCCCAGGGAATGCATTTCTGCCTGAAGATGGCACCATATGGGCAGAGGCGCTCCCTGGTGTGAAAGGAACTCCCTGGTGAGCCAGGGATGCG